GAGAGCGACTCGCCTGAGTGAGACCTTCCGGGAAATTGGATTGGCATTTTGTTCTTTACGAGCGTCCGCGAAGCCGCCATGGTTCTACAAGGTAGAACGTTCCTGTCGGAAGACGGGGCACGCGGTTATACAGGGTGGACACTGTTCTACGGATGACGGAACACACGGTTACATCGGTTTAAGTGAGACGGTTCTATCTGACTTTGAAACCTCAATCTTGTTCCGCAGAAATGTTTCGTTGCTGTTTTTCGGGAAAGTTTATTACAGTTTTAATATCATACTATTGACGGAATAGATGTTTTCTTGTCCTAATACATATTGTTGTACACAATAATTATACTGGGACATTATTATTGGATGACGCGCGGTACACGTAACTATATCTTCTAATGTCCATTTTCATCAAGGCGGATTAACTTCGATCTCAGTTCAACTTATTTTTTGTTTAATTTTATAATCCTGGTTTAATCCTAACTAACTCTATATTTTCTTTGTTCTAAAAATTGGAAAAAGATGAAGAGTAAATTGGAGCGAGATTGAAATGAATCTACGTTTATTTAGAAATGAGCACTAGAATTAGAACAAGAGTAAAAAGTAATTTAAAGCGAGATTATCTACATTGAGATGGAAACAATTTTTTGTCACTATTGTTTCCCTAAGACGGTTCTGTTTAATCCTGGAGACGGTCTACGGCAAGTCACATGCCACCTACGTTCAGTTGCTACGTTACTTTTCAGTCAAGGAAAATTGTATACCTGCCCATTGAACAGATTATTAGCATTAAGTAAACGTTGTCGGAAGACGAAATGCGCGGTTATGTAAAGTGAAATACATATATGAAGGACGGGCAGTAATACGGAATGAAACGTTGCTATTGAAACAGAAGATACGCGCTCTTTCATTTCGTAAATCCAGAAACGTAATAATGGCTGTTGCGTGTTGGTATCATTTCCAATCTAGTAAGTTCCCGAACTTTATCTCTTGCGTGCGGATTTGAATCTCGGTCTAAACACACTGTATGCAACGAATGATACTTTCATTGCGAAATACCGGATCCAATCTCTAATAACAGGTTGCGAGCGCGGTTCTGCTTCCGATTCTTTCGTTGGTTGAACAGAACTCCGGCATTGCGTGAATCGCGCGAGAAAAAGAAAGAGAGAGAGAGAGAGAGAGAGAGAGAGGGAGGAAGGGAGGGAGGGAGAGGGAGAGGCAGAGGCAGAGACACGCATCATCTCGTTTCCAAGCGTCACGAATAAACGCGGAAAAGAGGAAAAAACGAAGATACGAACTACCTGGCGCGACTCGTTCGATCCGATTGGATCGGAATTGTCGGCTCGGACACTTTTTGCATGGCGCGTGCAGCAGGAAGCGCATGATTTGTGCCGACAATCGCGACACGTGGGCGTATGTATATCGCTCGGGAATACAGTCCGGGTTCGATTCGAGTTCCTCCAGATAGCCGGGGCTGCGCAGCTGCCTTGCCTGCCTCGCTATCCTACATCCTAGCTCGCTCGCGCCGAGCTATCGTGAACGAGAAGACGGCAGACGGAGAATCGTTCTTCCTATCCTTCCAAGTTCGATGACTCTCGGCGATGATCATCGCGAGGGGGCAAACGTCCTCCTCTCCCCTGCCTTCCCGTTCCTCGTTCTCACTGCCTGGGTTCCTTCGCGCTTCGTCGCCCCCTGCGCTCCTCCTCCTCCTCCTCCTCCTCTTCCTCCTCCTCCTCCTCTTTCTCCTCCACCACCTCCTTTTGCTTCGTCCTTCTCCTTTTCCTCCCGATGTTACTCCCTTCTCTTCTCCTTCGTCTTCTCCCCGCGGGTACCCTACGCTCGAGTTATCATAACCGCCGCCATCCGTCATGCATCACTTGCCACTTTGTGCCCCGAAGAATCCTCTCGCTGCGGCACGACAATCGCGCGCGAATCCACTGGAGAATCGACGCCGATGACGCCGAGCGAATAGCGAGATGTGCTTCAGGTGTTGTCAGGATTTTTCCCCGTATACAATTGTGCTTCGTAATAAAAATGATAATTAAGAAAAAAATTGATTAGCTGCCATGTGATATTTATAGATAGAGCCTCCAATTATTTTTATATTCGATCAGACTTCTATAGGTAGTACATTGGAAAAAGTCAATTGTTTGTCATTAATTGAAATTCCGGTAGGTTCAACCAGAAAGGTATAAATCAAACACTTTCAGTTAGATCTGTCACATTCTACACTGTTAAATATTAAAGAAGCACTTGGTGAGACCCAATCTCTTAAGTTAAAACAGTAATATTTTGTTAACGTATGTACAATACTTATTGTTAGTAAAACTAAATTTAAGTCAAATTTAATCATTTTCTTGAGTTAAACTTGATGTTTTAGTTAAATCAACTCATCTTGAATAGGAGCGCGAGTGAAAATAACCCAAATTGGGTTTGACATTACGAATTTAACAGTTGAGATAATCCAAGAATCCGATTCATATAATTAGAATTTAACGAATGGACATTTTTTCCATTGGTCCTATATTCATGTATACAAAATAATTACGAATTACATTAGTTCAACTATTTAAAAGATGAGAAAGTGATGCCTCAAGTATTGTGTCACAGAATTGTTTCACATTAGGCGCAGTTAATATTTTATTGCGCGTTTATTGCCATTTACGGTAAAATTCCGCACGTACGTATCCGCGTTTAAATAGTTGTAAGTTGCGTGAATTTCCGAATGCACATTGTCGGAAGTGAAACTGTGAGAAACACACCCGGTGTCTTTTTTATTCTTCCGTCTACGATGTTGATCAATCTGGTCCCCGTTGTTCCACCGTTGTTTGCGGAAGTGAAACGTGTTGAAGTCGGGCCTTCCTATTTCTAGAAAATGCAGAACTCAACGTAACTTGCATTCGCGCAACAATATCCTAAGCTCTGAGCTATCGAGGAATATCTAAGGCGTCATTTGCACTTAGCGATTTATCGATCAATCGGTTTCATCTTAACTATAATACAAGCTTTTCACCGGTGGAAACCTGTATTTCAGATCGTCGCCTTTCGTATATATACGCCGGATATATCGATGTCAGTATTATCCGCCTCTTGAGAGCAATCGCGACTGTAATTTCGCTCATTCACCTCGCAAATTTTTCGCGAATATTAAGCCGGCATCGAGGCTCGCGCGCGAGCAACGATTCGATCTCAATGCTTTATTTTCGATTTGATCGCGGGATCGGATTGCGGAAAGAAAGAGAGCGAGAGCGAGAGCGAGAGCCAGAGAAAGAATCTCGCTCGGGAAAACCAGTTTTCCCGCGCGCCACCATGTCGTTTCCACACAGTTGAATACGAGATGCATTAACAGGGACTGCCTTACACGTCTTGCGCCATTTACCTTAACGACGACGACTTTTCTTCAGCGCTTTTCGCATCGCTCTTACTCAACCCGGGCTAGCGGTACTACCGGTCGATCGACACGGACGGGTCGCGTGTGCAGGTTGGGGCACCTGCTCTTGTACCGGTGGTGAATGGAAGAACTTACTTTAGAAAGACGCATCCCAGACCATCCTCTCTCTCTCCCCTATGGCCTCTCCTTCTCTTTCTCTCCTTCAACCCGACACGACTGACACGAGGTTAAGCCACGTCTAACTGTAAGATAATCGGCCTGCTCGTTCGGATCGTTCGGTCAACTCGCGTGCGTTTACTCTCTTCTTTTTCCGCCCTCTCCCTCTTGCTTCCCGAAGCTACGTGCACTCTTCGTTTATCAATGGCCTCGCGAATCGCCGTCCTTCGTTCGATACAAAATGTTATCATTTTTTTGATTAGAACATAAACGGAGGAATATTATGAATTAGTACATGGATGATTAGAGTACATTAATAATATTTTCATACGATACTCGCGCTCTTTCTCTTTCTTTCTTTCTCTTACGTGTCTTGATACCGAGAAGAAAATGCTGCGCTTCCGTACTATATATTTATACGA